TTTTTTTTTTTTTTTTCCCCCTAAAAGAAACGATACGAAAATTTTTATTTTTTAATTATTTTTTATGTTTTTTCTCATTATTATTATTATTATTATTATTTTTCTTATACTAAACCAGGGTTGCCACAAGTCAGGGAAATCACGGAAGTCATGGAAAGTCAGAGAATTTGAAAATGGTTAGAGAAGTTATGAAAAAGTCAGGGATTTTAGCAAAATTTTCTGGAAAAATAAAATGGCTGTAAAGAGGTTTAAAATATGCGTACATCACAGCCACGCAATTTTAATTACGCGCCCTCATGTGCTTTCACGGCTTGCGCTACCACTTGATAATGCCGCGTGGTGGGGGGAAGAGTAGCCTTTATAATAGCAGATTGAGATTTTAATAAACAGGATTTAGTTTTAATAAAAAATAAATTATATTCATTGATTTATGTTCCTTATATTCTTCTCTCTTTCTCTTGCTGCTGTTTATTGATAATAAATAGCAGTAAAGAGAAAGAGAAGAAGAGGAAAAGAATCGTGTTCATACATAAAAGGAAAAGACAAAAAATACTACATACTCTAACTTAACAATTAAATGCAGTTTTAGCAACATTATAATAGTAATTTACACTGTTATGTTAAATTGCTCTATCAACAAAATATTTAACGATTTTCAAATCAGGATGAAAATACAAAAAAAAATTTCAAAATATGTTTGAAAGAAAAATATTATTGAAAGTCAGGGAAAATCAGAAAATTTTGTCTGGAAATCAGAGAAATGTCAGGGAATTTTGGGACGAATAATTTATGGCAACCCTATAAACAGTAATTTTACGAAAGAAAGAAGAATGTATGACCATGTATAGACGTATTTCGTATAATATGTATAATTATATATATTTATATATATTTATACATGTTTATGTATGTTTAGATATATTTAGATATATTTATATATGTTCATGCATGACAAATTTTTTACTGGGCATTTATATTGTTTGTGATCCATTTCAGGATAATGACTCTAATTGAAAATAAAATATGCTTAAATCTCTTAAGTCTGTTTTTTTTTATTCCTGCACTAGAATTAAACTGTACTAGAATTTTTCTTCAATTGCGAATTATCGGGCTATTCGAGCCGCTGGATGTTATTTGCGAAAAATTTTCTTATATATAACAGTAATTTATTAATATTATTACATACATTTCGACCTTTTTAATCTGGTGTTTTTATTTTAATTCTTTGTATTAGATAATAATGATTTACATTCGAAGTCGTTATTAAATGCCTACTAATTTAAAAAAATCCGAGAGAATCAAGTATCTTCAATGTACATTACGCAATATTCTTATTTTGATATCTTGTCAAACAGTCTCTTGAAAATTTTCAAACTGTCCAATTCAAGAATGTATGGCTCTACGACCATTGTATCGGATGGAAACTAACGTGCTGGTTATGTCTCTATAAATATAGTAATATTATATTGAGTAATGATAAATATTAAAAATTAAATTATATATGATTATTAGTAATAGTTTTACCTCAATCCTTGATTTGGTCAGCTTTAATAAATTATCGTTATATTTTAATAGCTTGTCTCTTGTCATCGGTCGTAATAACAATAAGAGATACTGTATTTATTATTTAGACTAACATGCGTATCATTGGAAAGGGAAAGTCTGGTAGATATGTGTCTGACAAATTTTCTATGTCACTTTGTTTAGCCCCTCTTTTTGTTTATATACGAGTTTGTTTATCTATATATGTATACTCGTGTGTGTGTGTGTATATATATATGTATATATAATTTCTGATACCGTTCTCTTCATATATGATGGCTCATTGTCTAGGATTTTTATGCTTTCCTATTTAAATTCATGTTTTTTTGTAAGTCTATGATCAGATAATACCGAAAGACATCCACTCTTCTTACTAATATCTTTAAAATGTTCTTGAATTCTAGTTTTAAGTTGCCTTTTTGTTTGACCGACATACGTGGCGTTACAATCTCGATAACTGATCTTATACACTTACATCACATCTTGACATATTGTCCAGCTTATCTTTTACAATTGTAATGTATGCGTTAAGCATTTTTGGAATAGTATAAGCTGGTTGTAAATTAAACTTTTTGAATATTGTTGAAAATTGTCTAGAGAAACCTTTTACAAATAATATTGTAAAAACTTTTTTCTTTGAGGAATTCTTTCACAATTATTGGATTTATCTTTATTATTTATGTTATTTTTATATATATGATATTTTATTCTTTTGTTAATCATATTAAAAATAAAGTCTAATAGATAACTGTTATGTAAAATACGTAACTGTTTAGTAAAATGTTTATACTATTTTTTAAGTTTTTTTCATGATAATCCGGATGTGTAAGTAAAATAATTTTATCTACCATTCCATAGATTATTCCTTTTTTATGCTCAATCGGGTGTTGTGAATTGTATAATTGAGATATCTGTCTGAGAATGTGGCTTTATGGAATAGGTCAAATTTAATTGAACGTTCATCTCTCATTAATTTAATATCCAAACAGCTTAATTGATTGTTAAAAAAAAATTTCTACTTCAATCGTAAACTTTAAATGTTCATCTAAGGAGTTAAAAACTTCTAATGTGTGATCTATCTTGTTGGATGGAGCGACCAATAGTATGTCGTCCACATAGATACCTAAAGTAAATCTTACTTTTAAAGGTTAGAAATTAAGCTATTCTTTCTTAAGACTGACTCAATTTTCATGAGATTTCACTCCAAAGAATTTAAAGATCAGCGCGCATACAAAATACAAAATAAATATAAGAGTTGTAAAAATAGAATTCGTACGGACTGCAAATTCTTTGAAAATGGACGGCGCATATATAGATAGCATTCTACTCTAAATTCTGACGAGAGTTAACAACTGTCTAAAAAAGCAAGCTTGACAAATTTAAAGGAGGGGAATCCCCAAAAAAAGAAAATAAACGAGTCTCAAACAAACGAAATCATCAATACGCGTAACGTATTTCACAGCGCGCGTGGCGATGATTTGAATCGCGCGCCGGAAGGCGCGCATGCGCGCATTCGCGACGGCTAGCGTCGCGGTGGCGAATCCTCGAAGTCGAAGATAGGCCATCTGGCCGTAGGAAAGGAGCCGGAGCAGAGTAGCGGACTGCGGAGTGCGGACTGACGAGACTGTCGCAGGAGGACACGGAGTACGCGAGAGTGCTCGTGGCCTCGCGCTGCCTCGCGCTCGATCTCTCGCTCGCACAGTTAGTGTCAGTGTCCATTGATTCGGTGTCGCCGCGAGTTCTTGGAGGAGTATCCGGCTTGGCCACAATCGTCGCAGTGACAAAGAGGGGGTGTGAGAGAGAGAGAGAGAGAGGATGCGGTATCGCGCGAGATTCCGGCGTTGCATCCCGTGTCCGTGGCTTCGCGGGGACGTTGTCGTGGCCGCGGCCGCGTCCGCGTCCGCGTCCCGCTGAGATATGCGCGGTGTGACCGATCCGTCCGCGTCGTTCCGCAGTGTGTTTGCGCGGGTTAACCTCAAGTATAGCGCGAGTGCTCGCTACCGCGCGATAGCGTATACAGGTGGGGTGCGAATAAAGGAGAAAAGAGAGGACGAGTGTACGTTCGGTTAGGAGAGGCAGGAAGAGATATCCGTGTATCGTAACAAACACGCATTCACGGACGTTCGTCAAGATGTCGTCGTCCGGACACAGCAGTCGCACTCGCGCCGTCCACATTGGCTCGATCTTCCAGAAGCTACACGGTCGCTTCGCGGACGCGATGACGCCGCCTAAACTCTCGACCGACAAGCGTACGCTCGACAAGACCTGGAAGCTGATGGACAAGGTGGTGAAGCTCTGCCAGCACCAGCGTATGAACCTCAAGAACTCGCCGCCGTTTATCCTCGACATCCTGCCCGACACGTATCAGCGGTTGCGGCTCATCTACAGCAAGTACGAGGACCGTATGCAGACGTTGCACAACAACGAACACTTTTGCGTGTTCATCAACAATCTGATGCGTAAGTGCAAACAGGCGATCAAACTGTTCAAGGAGGGTAAGGAGAAGATGTTCGACGAGACGTCGCACTATCGCCGTAATCTTACCAAACTCAGCCTCGTCTTCAGCCACATGCTGTCCGAGCTGAAGGCCATATTTCCCAGTGGGGTGTTCGCCGGCGATCAGTTTCGCATCACCAAGGCGGACGCGGCTGAATTCTGGAAGGAGCGCTTCGGGAACAGGTACGTGTTCGGTCGCCACGCTTTTCTCCTTTAATCGCAACCAGGAGAAGCTAGCTTCCCCGAGGTGCATTCGCTGCCTCCGTTTTTCGCGGCGAGAGAAAAGTTCTTCAGCCTCCACGGCATTTGGTGGATGGTTGCTAGATCGTTCTCGAAAAACGACCTCCGGCCGTAAAATTACAGATCCAAAATGGCAAAAATGTTTTGGTTGTATCAACAAGTACAAATAAAATGCATTTTCATCATTCTGAATTCTGGTGTTGTCGTAATTGAATTTCTACTTATCTCGACTAGGTAAATGTTTGATAGATTCGACTGTAAGAACATCTGATTTGTATCTTTGTGGTTGTTGAATCTACGGGATTTATACAATCAGATTTGTTTTTACGTGTATTTTCTAAACTCGCGAAATATCGGAAATTGCGCTGTACTTTTAGCCGAGATTCCACCAAGTCATTCTCCGTGATATATTTTAGAGATTTAAACTAGGAAAAGGAACAGAAAACCACTCTGGTTATTGCTTCCCGCAATGTCACTATAATAGAGAAAAAAAAATCTAAAGACAAACTTTTCGGGTCTTTTTGAGCCCGTATCAGACTAGAAACTGAGATTAAAGTTGAATTTGACCAATCAAAGCAAAACTAAGGCCCAGTTCCACCAATGTAGGATTAACTTTATTAACTTCGGTTTAACTTACTGTTTATATATATATATATGTATATTTTTTTTTTTAATTAACCCTCGGACAGCGGACGTCGTGATACTCGCACGCGCGGCGGACGCAAGGTCAAAAGTGCCCCAAGAATGAAATTGTTTTAAAACGTTTGAAAAACAATTCTTTATTATAATATGTAGAAAATATGTAGAAAGAGAAATAAAAACACATATTTATCTATAATTTTAAAAGATTGGAAAAAACCCAATTTTTCCGCGGATTTTTTCGGTTTTTTTCCCCAAGGGAGAAAAATTCATTTTGGAAAAATTCACGCGTGCTCGTAAAACCTACCACGTTTGCTTCTCGGTTCTTTCCGTAAAGAAAATAATTGCGTATAAGGTACACAGCGGGATAAGTTAACAGAAATTTTGAAATTGTACAAAAGATTGAGGGCGCATAATGTATTCAATAAAACATACAAAAATAAACACTATAATTGCACCATTGTAAGAATTAAAAATATAGAGTCCAAACATCATGTTTATATGATAATAGTAGGTCTAGAAAATAATTTGGATTTAAATTGAATTTGTAAAAAAATATTTAAAAAAAAATAAATTACAAAGAGACACTTCAGGAATTCATTAGACCGGAGTGTGACAAACTAGAGTTAAAAATCTGTCTACTGAAACTTTGCCATGTTCTAAAGAAAGATTAGATTAGGTTTTACTATAAAAATAGAAGCATAACCTTTATTAAAAAAAAATTTTAATAAAAATAATACTACATAATTTCATAGATCGCATTAATTTTATAAAGGAATTTAGAAGTTACTTATTACCATATATCGTTTACATAGTAAAAACAGTAATTTTTCCAAAAAACCAATTTTTTGGAAAAAAAACCGAAATTTTTCCGGTTTTTTTCCCGCAATTTGAAAAAAGCGGCTTTTTCAAAACTATATACTTATCATAAAAACAAATATCCATTTATTCATTTTCTTCACAGTTGAAAAGATCGAAAAGAGTAAACAACTCTAACTCTCGCGAGACCCTGCGTCCGCTGGCGGAAGGTTAATTAGAAAAAGATGAATAGTAATAAATTAAACCGAGACAGCACAGGGTTTAATTTACTGGGTGCGTTCCAACACATTTGGCGCTCACAACGTTCGCGAGCATTAATTATCTTTGTTTAATATTTGATAAACAATAAGGGTGACAATATTAAATGATCATTCCATGAGCGATATGCGAGCGTTAAATGGAACGTACCATTTTTTTCTAATTAATTAGAAAAAGATGAACAGTAAGTTAAATCTGTATAGTAAAGTTAATCTTATATTGATGAAACCGGATTTTAATAAACTAAACTTAATATATTTCTTTTTCTCTTTTTTCTGATTGACTTTTTAATTTCAATTTGAATCTCTAGTCTGACTTTTAAGCTTTTAAGCCCTTTGGCAAGTTCGCCGTGGTTACGTGGTCACCGACCGAACAGCTCTCTTTAGAGTAATCGTAAATGTCAGGGAAACTTGATACGGGGGGCAATACTGAAGTAGAGATTCAAAATTTGAAAATTGTTAGACGCGAAAAATGATACTTAATTCTTGCTTTGACAATCACTGCCAATTTTTTTATATAATAATCCGGTTCCTGGGATCGAAGAATCTCAAGACCCCACTTGCGTTTTAAATCAGAGTTGAAAAAAAATTTAACCCCTGCGGCAGATTTTGCAGCACAGTTTAAGAATTCGAGAATTCGTGTTAAACTTGAAGAACAATAACAATTCTACCTTTCGCAAGCATTGTTAATTTTGATATAAGTCGGCTCCTAAGATCGAAGGAGACTTGAGATTATGTTGCATTTTAATCAGAAATCTTAAGGAAAATTCATTCTCTCTGCGAGAAGTTTTGGAACATAAAATAAAGTAAAAAATGGATGTGAAAATTTGTAAATTACTAAAATTGGAAAGTATAAATCATGTCACACAATCTTGATTTTATAAATATCATCGTTTCGTATATACTTATATATCTCAAATTAAAGTTTAAAGAAAACCGATTTCCCCAAAAATTTCGCAGTCTCCTATGATCTTAAAATTTAAAGATTATCCCGTTTGGGAAGATGATACTTTTATCTCAGCAAACGTTCTCAACTTTCGTGCAGCGAATTTTACCGTGATGGTTACGACGGATTTAAAGTTTCCACTACGTTTATTCATCCGTTTCGTTAAGCTACATTAAGGATGCTGCATCGACTTTCGTATGAATCCTCCGTTGAAAATTCCATTTTCGTCACTGGACTATAAAAAAGTCTCCGATACTAGAATCCCAGAGGGAGAAGGAGACTAAAGAAAACTTCTGTTTCAATATTTTAAGCGCTGCCAATTCTTGTGTAAGGCTCGGTTGTCTGAAACTTTGCTCTTCGTAACTTGGCCTTTCACCAGAGTTCAAAAAAAGGTTCATCGACTTCCCTGAGAGAGAGAGAGAGAGAACTTTAAAGAGATTTACAAAGCTCTTCCGGAATTAGCACGGCAATGCTTTTGCCTCGAGGCCGGTAAACTTTCCTAAGCTCTGAAGGATTTAAGGATACAGTTTGGTTGTGTCGTGTATTATGCGGGCGTCCGAGTCCTCTGATATACTTATCGCGTATGTTTTATGGTAATAAATTTATCGACTTGATGTAGACGACGACGAATCTTTCTCAGAGGAGGGAACTCTGATC